CGACATGTTGGCCTTTAGTAGAAGTATTTGTGGAAAATTTTAACATATTCATATTAATATAAATAAGAAAGTTGATATTGAGCAGTCTGCGCATGCGCACATTAATGTCAACATTTTTCTTGCTTCAGGTTCTACAGCTATAAAAAAATGAACGAACTAAATATATTGTAAGCAGAGGAATAGTTAAGGCCTCGGACGGACGGACGGAGAAAGTGGCCATAATAACGCCTTCCAACATGCAAAAATTTCTTTTTCTACTGTAAACTGTAAAAAAATCCTGTCATTTTCTGAGGAATTTTGAAACACGAAGTACTAGATTTTTAAACGGTTAATTAATAAGTAAAGTTGCTCTTGACAACGTGCGCGAAACCGTCAACAGTGAAAAAAAGTATTTCGCGCACGTGACAAAGTTGAACTTAACAGCAAATTTAACTAACAATCGGTTCATTTGTAGAAAAAATATTGTATATAACGCTAGCGCGAAGTTACTTCGCGCATTTGACTGATATTTTGACTCGGCTTCGCCTCGTCAAAATACCTTCAGTCTCAATGCGCGAAATTGAACTTTCTTATTATATAAATATATTATATAAATATTGCTAAAGGATCCCAATATTTGTTTGGAGAGAATACTTGTCAAAAAGGAGGAAACAAGGCAGACTAAGAGATCCTTGTCCTGGTCTTGATTAGCTTAATAAATAAAACCTTTTGATCTACAGGTTGTAACGGCCTTGTTGAGCTCAAAAAGGACGCTTTCTGCCAATCTGTAACAGACAACACAAACAAAGGGGTAGTGAATAACTCGACACATAAAATATTGCGTAAGCAATGCGAACGGTAGCGATAGCTAATATCTCAAATAACACAGCTAATCTGAAGGATACCATGTAATCAAACTAACAGAATGTACCTTCGTAGTAATGAGAAAGTAGGGTAGACAAAATCGGGTATCGATAAGTATATTTTACTCGCGACACAGGTAATGTAAGTAAAATCAGATATATCGAAGGAATTTACAAGATCGTTAAACTCTAAAGGAGTTTCGTTAATACTTGCGGTTAAAAACTATGGCGAAGTGTACGTAAACAAATTCTCATGTGAGTAGGTCACAAGTAATGGTGGTATAATTCTTTAAGCCGGTAATGTAGAAACATCTATCGCATCCAGGTGAAAATCCATATCATTAACGTACTGCGTAGGTAGTAGGTAATATCCAGATAGATTATAATGTAAAAGGTAATCCAAAAGAAAGAACGTAAGAAGAAGAATAAGAACATTTTGAGGAAGGTAAAACCCCAAAATGAGATGTTAAGAAAAATACTGCGTAATAATATACCATACCTCGTACTGCTTATTTATGCAAATGCATATCCGTAAAACGCTGCAATGGAACACAGCCACAGACATCAAAAGAAAGAGAGAAAAATCACTTCAATGAGATATATGGTGACAATCAAAACAAAAGCCCTTATACAGGTAAGACATGAAGTCAAGGAAAGTAATGGCGTACTAAAGAAAAATGTGCATGTAACAAATGCGACAGCAGAAACTTCACTGCAGTGAAAAATGCAACTCGTAGGAAAGATAAACTTAAGAAGAGATGGAATAAGAAGTTTCGTGGAAAGCATTTGCACGACCTTCGTCGGTGAAACAAAGAACTATTGTAAAAGAAACGTATAACCGCGAAAATAAATAACTAAGGTACTGCGAAATCTACTACATAAATTAACTAGTGGATTACAAAGGAAATACCTAGGTGGTGTAAGAATTTTAATAAGAGCACAAATCAAATAGTTAAATGGAATATAAATCTGGAATATCAATCGGTAAGAAAATAACATTACTCCTTGATGAAAACAGAGAAGTATCAGTTTTTTAAATGAAATTCATCTCCCATATTAATATCTTCGTCTAGGAACACTACTATTTTTTTAAATCTACATTGCAGTACTGCTCTAGTCGCATACCGAATTTAATCGGAAGTCGTTTCTATGGTAAAATTTATGATTTCCGTTCTGAATTTCATTTTATTTCGCGCTCGGGTCCTACTTCGATTATGATCGACTGTGCAAAAGAAATAAATGCCATGGAAGAAGAAATGAACGCCTTTGTGGCAAAATTACTGTCACGCCGGCTATATGCGATGCGTTTCAGCGTTGTTGTGTTGATAGGCTTGTACAAGATATATAAACGTATACTGTTGATGTATTATTATGAAAAGTGAAAAGTAAAAGTAGTGTATCGATACTCGCTAGCAGAATGCGTTCAGCGTTGTGATGAGCGTACCGGTATTTTTACGTATACCATTAAATAAAAGAATGACAGATGTAACTAGAATGCATTTGCTTAACTTTGTCTACCCTTGCTGTTAAAATGGGGTCGGTTAAGTTGGCCCCCCCCCATTAAACATTTCGTTATGATATTACCATGTAATAATGCGCTCGATATGCGCTCAAACGCGCCGCTGAAAGTAATTTTTGCGCTGTTAAAGTTTTTGAGATATTTTGAAAAACATTTGGGGGGGTTCAAGTTCAAGCAGCCCCCCCCCCATTATGCAATTTGGTATATCTGATGATTCCAAATTGTGCCTGTAGTTATGCGCTAAACTGCGCCACTGGATTAACATTTTGCGCCACTACCGTATGACCATAACGAAAGACAGAAGGTGGGTGGGGCTAAATTGATGGTTTTAAAAAAGTGCACTTTCTTAAACATTCTTAGTGCTATATGTTCCCGTTTAGTTATGCGCTCAAATGCGCCGCTGAAAGTAACTTTTGCGCTGTTATAGTTTTTGAGATAAAACATTTGGGAGGGTTCAAGTTCACGCAGCCCCCCCCCCACCCCATTACGCAATTTGGTATATCTGATGGTTTTGTTGTTTACTATACGTTATTCATCACTGCATCAAATTCAAATTCCGACAACGGCGGCACCTTACATGTGCTAATCACGAAGTGTTTAATTTATGGAGCGACAACAATGGAACGTTTGCATTTACCTCTTACCTTACCTGCTTTACTTTAATCCCTATCTTCTTCCTGTTAGTCACGTCCAGTAAAGTACTGGCATTTTTACTTTCAGGCGCCGCATGCTAATCTTGAGTATGATCAAAGAGTACCATAGCACCTACTCTTTGGTATGATTTATGAATAGCTATACCATATACCTATGGGCCGCTATAGTGAATTATGTCATAAGGTTATAAGGTAATAGTGTGCGTATTACAGGTGAGTAATCGATGCAGAGTGCCAGAATTCTACGTAGGTACCCGTAATACGCAAATTACAACCAAATTACGTAGGTACATTACTTTTACCAATTACCTCCATGAATTTCGAAATCAAAATAAGGCAAAACCGAAAACGACAATTGTGATAACATTAATGATAATTTTTCAAGGTCGTTATGAAGCCCTTTGTGCCGCAATGCTGCACATGAACGTTTGGATTTTGAATTATGCAAATTACTTCCAATACTGCGAATGCAGTATATCAAAATAGAAGATAGTTTTTTTATACCGATGGTGTAGAAAAAATTGTTTAGAAATGCAAATAAAACCTAAATACTAAGTGTGAAATAGAAAATCGTATGTTTATGGTTTAGTAGGAAAATATTTTTTTCTTGGTCCGACGGCATAATTAAAGCAAACGTTTTTTAATCGTTCAACGTGCACCCAGTTGGCATCGTTGGCTGCGTGATGAACTCCCCCCCTCCTCAATGTTTTTCAAAATCTCTCAAAAACTTAAACGGCGCAAAGGTTACTTTAAGCGGCGCATTTGAGCGCATAACTAAAGGGAACATATAGCACTAAGAATGTTTAAGAAAGTGCACTTTTTTAAAACCATCAATTTAGCCCCACCCACCTTTTGTCTTTCGTTATGGCCATACGGGAGTGGCGCAAAATGTTAATCCAGTGGCGCAGTTTAGCGCATAACTACAGGCATAAGTTGGCATCACCAGTAATACCGAATTGCTTAATGGGGGGGCTGCGTGAACTTGAACCCCCCCAAATGTTTTTCAAAATATCTCAAAAACTATAACAGCGCAAAAGTTAGTTTCAGCGGCGCATTTGAGCGCATAAGTAAAGGGAACATATAGCACTAAGAATCTTTAAGAAAGTGCACTTTTTTAAAACCATCAATTTAGCCCCACCCACCTTCTGTCTTTCGTTATGGCCATACGGTAGTGGCGCAAAATGTTAATCCAGTGGCGCAGTTTAGCGCATAACTACAGGCACAATTTGGAATCATCAGATATACCAAATTGCATAATGGGGGGGGGGCTGCTTGAACTTGAACCCCCCCAAATGTTTTTCAAAATATCTCAAAAACTTTAACAGCGCAAAAATTACTTTCAGCGGCGCGTTTGAGCGCATATCGAGCGCATTATTACAGGGTAATATCATAACGAAATGTTTAATGGGGGGGGGGGCAACTTAACCGACCCGTTAAAATAATCATTTTATCTACTCTTACTGTCAAAAAGAGGCTCAGCCTACTCATCAAACCAATTAAAATGTCCCTTTAACATCTGCTGTAAATAAAAGAATTAAAGGTATGTAACTTGTTGCTATTCGTTTCAGAGTTTGTGCCATCTCACTCTCTATAATTAAAACTCCGCATGCCATAAAATTTTAGCGTTCATTTTGAATCAGATACGAAGTTTATTATCAGTAATTTAGACGTGTATACTCTGAAATAGGTTAATGTTTTCACAACGCTACATTATTAAGAAGAAATCTAAATTGCTCACATTAGTGTCGCCCTAAATTTCACATACCAATAGGAAAGGCAATAAATACAATAAAGATTTGTAGAGATGTTCCGCAAAATAAATTTTTAATGTGCCTTGAATGCGGGAATACGTTATCAAATTGACTTGCTAAATTAATGATGTCGAATACTACATAGGACCTCCATTGCTTGAAGGCTTTTATTTTGATTCAATTGAGACGTATGTACTTCATTAAAGCATAAACTAAAATAGCTATGTTTTAAGTGTATAGGCGTGTTGGCGTTTAAGCACCATTTAAAAATTAATCAAATTGTGTTATGACTTTGAGGTATGATATTTAATCAATAAATAGTTTGGCGGTTTTGATGTTATATTGGCATAAAATGCTATTGCGAGCAATCATCTTGTTTTTTTTTAAATAAAGATCCAAGTTCACAAATAATTATTGATGAAGGGATTGTAACATTCAATTTCATTAACAGCATGTAATTTGGGTTGCATATATTTCCGCGAAATTCAAAATTTAAACATCTATCTTGTGGGGGTTATCAGGTCACATTCTTCTGATTGTGGTATACTTTACCTTGACCAATTTTTGGACACTTTTGAAGCTAATCTTCATCGTGGTAGTTGCTACAAATAATTACATAGTTAATTATCGTTATTATTACGGATTAAGTAAGCTACTTACGTTATTTCAAGAGGCTCTTTAGTAGTGTTGTTACCATAGCCCTTGAAAATTCTCATTATTTTGGGATTTAGAAGATTCAGCTGGTAAGGGTGTGGTCGCCACGCTAAAAATTACTTAATCGTTAATAATTTTAGGTAGCTTTGGATGATACAGCCGTTGTAACTATACATCATAATATTAGTACAATTATTTAGTTTACTTAAGAGCAAAAGCCAGATCCTTCTGGGTTAGTATTAATCTCATAATCACAGTAATCTTACAGATTCTATTTTAGCTTTTGATCCAAGTTTTATGCTACCAGTTTTAAGACAAATTTAGTAACCAGATTCGCATACCCGTTTTGTTTATCGTTAAGACCCGAACATCTTCCCTGTCAACATTTATCTACTCCGTATTCATCGATACCATCGCTGGTTCCAGCTCTGGGGAAAAAGAAAATAGCTTTACACACTTTGAAGAACCATTTATGTACTCACCGGAATACGTGTAAATAGAGTCTCTGAGCAGGGGTAAGAGTAAGAGAGGCATTGCACATCACTATCCATCTTGTATAATTTCATAATTACGTTCACTAAATTCTTAAGGTTTATACTTACCACTGTAAAAGCGTCAACAAGTTACCGGTCACTTCCATCATTTTATTTGTTAGACCGACTATTACCCCCTTGAACTACGAGTTAGTAGTTATAATAAGACGCTGTAAAGTAAGCTTACGTTACACCCGCCTTAGGTAATGCTTTGTCCACCCACTTGTGTTCGCTGCCAAGTTGAAGTTCCTTGATTTAATTGTTAATTAGTAATTACTTAGTCATTGTCATAAATCGCGTCATTAATTCGTCATTTGGGTTGTCACATCTTATCATTATCACCTCTTACCTCGCTTGCTTATGCACTACAATAAAATTACTTATATACCCCGTTAAACAGCAGTTTATTATAAAGGTAGTTAGGCCAGCGCGTCCTGATAATTCTAAGGACGTCACTTCACTGGCTGTAGAATTTGGCGCCCTTAAAATATATTATTTTACGACCCCGCCCAGAGCTAGCTGGCGCAGGGATTACATCGCCTTACCATCCTTATATATATACAAATCTTATTGTGTGGCTAAATTTAGGTTACAGGATGCAAATACGAATTTTTTCATCTAAAGCAACCCTGAACTCGCTCTCCCGCCTCTACCTATTTCGCTGTGTGTTTCTCTGAAGTGTGCTGTGGTGCATTTGTCAAAAAATAAAATGCGCTGTTATGAGCGTTTTTCCACCTGTCGGTCCGTTTGAGGGCACTGGAAAGTCGTAAAAAGCTCGATAATGTCCCGTTTGTGCAGCAAGAGATGTCCTTTTTCTTAAGTTGGTAGAACAAAATGTTTATTTTTTATTTATTCGCGAATTTCATCGAGGAAAATGGAAAACACATTGCTTTGATGCATAACTAAATTTTGTGCCGTTCTTGTTATACTCCCATTTTGGTTAAGTTGGCAGAGTAAAATCTTAATTTATTTTTTATTTTTATTTATTCGCCGGGGAACGGCACAACTCATTGACTTGATGCACACAAACAGAGGGGGTGGTATTCCTGTCATACTCCCTTTTAACAACGAATGGTTAAAACAAAACACCAATAAACCTCAATGGTGGCAATTTTTTATTGTAATTTTAATACAGGAATAGATAGAAAAATTATCTAAACAAAAAAGTGTTCTATACATTTTTTTTTGGGAAGTTAATACTTCTCCAGTTATTCGCGACCGACGGTTTTTTATAGAAAAGAACCATGTTTTTAATTGGTTGGTCGCGAAAATCTTAGAAAGTATGCATTTTATTGTGGAGAACAAAATCGAAGATTTTAAAAAAACAAAGAAAATAGTTTTATTAATAATTGCTGTATGACCAATACGAAACGAGTTGTGGCTTGTTAAGGTTAGCTCTTGTTCGTCAAACGCTAAATTAGAGTGTTTCACAGTCAAATAACGGCAAAACTACCTATGCATTTTTCGATAAAAACTTGTAAGTAGAATATTTTTTAAAGTATTTAAAAAAACCTTTCTTCTTTTTTTAAAAACAAACTTTAGCATAAAAGGTAGGTAAGTGAGTTACGATGAAAATAAAGTAGATCCGTACTTTTTTCAGCAAAAAAATCAGCACAAGCAACCCTCTAATTACCACCCTAATTAAAATTAGTCTTTCCCCTTTTCCTGTTTTCTTAATTACGTATTATTAATACATTCTAGAAGTTTATAAGACTTAATTTTGAAATAATTGAAGCTAAAAGTGAATAACAAGTTTCTGCAATTTTGTGAAAAACGTCCTTCTCTTTAAAATAACTACAACTGGAGATATGTAAAAAATGCTACAATATCCAATTGTAGCTTTTTTAATTCCAAACATTTTCCTCGCCGGTAATTTTCTGTACGACAAAAATTAAATGAGATATAGACGTTTAAAACGGTGTGCGGTAAATTCGCCCCGGAAGACTCGCCATCGAAAATTCGCCCCCAAGTAAATTCGCCCCCGGAATATTCGCCCCCAAGTAAATTCGCCCCCGGAATATTCGCCCCAAGTAAATTCGCCCCCAACAAATTCGCCCCCGGAATATTCGCCCCGACAAATTCGCCCCCGGAATATTCGCCCCGACAAATTCGCCCCCGTAGCATTCGCCCCATAACATTTATTAACCCTCGGAAGTAATAGGTTGGTTTAAATTAATTAAATAAATATTTGCAAAAATTACGATATTTGGAACTCAATACGGCGAGACTGACAACTCGAAATTGTTCATATTCAATCGTCTTTCACCTGTAAAAGGCTGATTCAACGGTTCAACGTCAACCGTGTGTTTACAATACATTTTACAACAAATTGCGTTTACAAAGGAGTCTAATTACTCAGCCATTTATGGATGTATTGAAATGTTTTTGGCATCAATGTATAAACAAAGGATGATTCTTTCTTTAGACTTACATTTGAAAATTGGTCCAGATTTGATGTAAATTTGTGTTGAAAAACACCAACATTGATGAAGTTTGCTGAAGTATTAAATCATAATTAAAATAATCTAAAAAAATCTAATTCGAAACATCCCATTTCTTTAAAATATAAAAAAAAGTTTGCTTATATTGTTGTGAGACCTAACCTACACTTCTGGGAATCCCACGATTTCCCTCTAACTAGCTCAGTTTTAATTAAAATGAAAACAAAATTTTTATCCGCATCTCAAGGTCCAGCTGGATTCTGCCACCCTACAGCATTCCAACAATGACATGAATAGGTGGCTTAACCAAATCCTTAAATTCCAATACGAAACTTTACCCCCAGATTTTAATAAACTTGAAACAAAGTAAGAGACGCCGACAATTACCTCTCTTTGACTCTAATAAACAAAACCTGGATTGCAATGACTGGTTTAATTTCAGACAAAAAATTGCGTAAATTTCTGTTTTACAAATTGTTACAATTTTAAACAGATAAATGACACACAAAAAAAAAACAAATTACTCAAACATTACAAAAAAAACATGACAAAACAAACCACTAACTACTACTTACTTTTAAATTTGTCCGAGTAACGTACTCTGATACAAAGAGGTATCCGTACACGATCACAACAAAAAAATTTTCACACAAACCAAACACTCAAACACCGACGTCTTCTCTCTTCAGGTACCCACAATTATTTTCAAAACTTCCGTGTTTCCGCAAAATAAAAAAAAACAGGACGGCGACAAACTTCTTAAACTTTTCAAAAAAATTCTTCTTAAACGGCAAACAAAAATTCTAACTAAACCTGGATCCACTACGCAAGAAACTTCCACAAAATTCAAAAATAACGTAACCGAAGAAGCGCCGGTTGGCTTTGTAACGACCAAAAAGCCCCGCTCTCTTCAAAAATTTTCTATTTAAGCCAAAAGCCCTTCTCCTTTCTTCAACATCCCGCCCGCCAATCACGCGAAGCGTCGATTTTTCAACTTCTTGCTAAACGGCACGTACGCCCGGCAATTCTGCGAAGACAACCTTATCTCTACTTCGCGCTATACCTCGTTAACGGCAAATAAAATTTAAAAAGAAATTTACCTCGAAAAAAATTCTAGGAATAAAATAAAAAAAGAACACTTCTAAGAAATTGAACCAAAACTATAACATGAAATTTACGCAATCCTGTGTCTCAAATTATTAATAACCCCCCCGGTTAATTAATTGAACTAAACAAAATTGTCACATCCAGACGCTCTATAATTTCTTTCAAGTTACAACTAAAACAAAATAACACAACAATATATTTATTAGTTAAGTAGCAACTATACTCTATTCATTTTAAGAAGGTAGTGGTAGAAATCATAGGGAAGCTTTGACCTTCACTGTGATTGGTTAAACCACGAGTCTGTATTACGCCGAAAAATAAAGTGTGTGACCAATCTTGTTATGTTAGTAGTTTCGGTTACGAACTAAACTGTCGAACTGACATTAGATGTCAATTTCAATGATCCAAACGTGAAATCTTTTGATTTATATTCATATTTTTCAAATTTGGTGCGGTTTTATATTTATCTTGTGTACGTCTATCTTTAAACACAGCGCCATCTACTACCTTCTTATAATGAATGCAGTATAGTCTGCTAGGGTACTCTTGTACTCGTTTCAAATTCAGCCCGTCGGATTAGCCTTAAATTTGAGAATTTTGGTAAAAAATGTGCAAATGCCATAAAAATTTTAAAATGTCCAAAGTATCCACTTGAGATCAAAACCATTTACCAAAAATTTAGACCTTAAAAAAACAATGAATTTAGTATATACTTTGTGTCCTACTATTATGTAAAAAAAATGACAATACAGGCACGTTCTTATTACTGATGCCATAAGAGTTCCTTTTTTGTTGTTGTCAGTTTGATTTCCAGATTTTTGTATTTACGAAAGGTGAAATGTTGTGTTTGATTTACAATAAAATAAACTCTATTAGGATTGTAATATTTAAAATCTTAGAAAATCGTACACAAAATTCGTTTTTTTAAGTAAATCTAACTACCTAATTAAAAAATATAATAGAAAACTTACCGACACTACGTGAAACCGATCTTCTTCAATACTAAAAACTATTTTTTCACACGGGTTTATACCAAACTCAAAATCCGTGTTCAAGCCAAGTATTGATCCGAAAGTTAAAAAAAGGCCGTAGAATCGTTAACCAAAAATCAAAGTTCGTATTCGCGCCAAAATATAACAAGTAGGAACATAAAAAGTTTCAAAACAAATACACCACCAATGACCAAACGAGCCATCAAACGTTCTGTTAGGAAGCAATTAAGAAGCTAACAACTCAGTCAATCAAAAATGTCATTTAAATTAGATTATATATTACCTTCTTTTGTAATACAAGAGTTAAGGGGATTTTCCATATGTCATGTCTGAAATAATAGAAGTCATTAAGTCATTGAGAATACAGGATTTATTTCCTTTGGATGTCAAATCCTTTGCAAATCACCCTTACATTTATTTAACCTTATCTTAATTACCTATTCATATTTTAGTTAACAGGTATTTGAGTGCTATTATTCTACCCCCTTTATGTAGGTATACACAGTTATTACAAAAAGAATTAAAAATAAACAAAATTCATTTTATGAACTGCTGGCCCTGTTACCTCCGAGGATTAATAAATCTTATGGGGCGAATCCTAAGGTAGCGGAATCGCCGGGGGCGAACTTCTAGGAGCGAATTTGTCGGGGGCGAACTTGCCGGGGGCGAATTTTCCGGGGCGAATCTTACAAAGGCGAATAGTCCGGGTCGAATTTACTTGGGGGCGAGTTTTCTTAGGGGCGAATTTTCCGGGGCGAATCT